TCTAAGCCGAAATGCACAAACTTGTCACATTGCTCTAGTCGGGACTTCCGTTCTGTGCACAACACAGTCCGCGCGTCTTTGGGTAGTCCGGCAATGCCTCGACGCCGACAAAAGGCAAGAACATCGTTCAGACATACGTGGCTCATGTTGTGCTTCCCAGCAATACTTGCGAGCTCGTCGCATGCCGAGAGTTCATGCGGCTGGGATGACGACGTAGTGGCAGCGTTCGGATTCGCGCTGCCGTTTGGTGGCTCCGAGTTATGGTCAGCGCTTTCCTCTGACTGGTACTCATCGCTCGTATCGTCTTACGACGAATCATTTTCTGAAGAACTCGCCAGCACGTCAGATCTCGAGACTTCAAAGCTCGCCGACTGCACCTGGACTTCCAAGTCACCCGAACAGCCAGCTTCACTGGACTGGAAAACGCCTCCGGCTGCAGGTTTATCAGAGTGGGCAACATCGCTGGAAACGGCATTGCCCGTCAAACCGCCTTCCGTTCTCGGCTTCTTGCAGCTTGCAGCTTGAAGATCCGCCATAAGCTGCTCATGGTCCTTCTTGAGCTTCCGGTACTTATACTTGTTCATTATCAGGAAGTAGCGCACCAAATGCAGTGTTTAACACGGCGAAATACGAGCCACAACAGAGCAGAGGCGCAGACCACTGTGGTGCAGACGCAAGTTGTTGCCAGATGGTCCCAACAAAAAACCGCCAAACGCCTGGGTGGTATAGCCCAAATATAGCCAAAACTAAAAACAATGGTTTTTAAGCCTTTTTTGACAATTTTTCACACACATACAAGACACGTTACATTATCTTTTTCAAGCCCCAGATGCGCCACATTTTGTGTACATTATGTCACTTGCGAATTTAAAAAAAAAACACTTCGGAAGGAAGAAAACAAAACTGTCACCTCCTTCGCAGGTCTTCAGAAGTACAAAACACACAAAGACAGTTTTATCGTGAAGCCCGGGATATGATCATTACAGTAAACGAACAGAATACAGAAGCAGAACGGTAACACTTGGTGTTTCAAACAGGGATCACAATATCTAAGGTCCTTACCAATATCCTACCCGTCTCTTTTTCTTTGTGTAGAATATGAGTGTTCCCCATTTCGGTTCACGCTATTTCTGATTGTGTTGTCCTTCCTTGGGGTGGGCGAAGACTGGAAGGTAGTCAATTGTTTAGCGGTGAAACTGCGGACTTTATATTTACGAACTTGGGTGCCTAAGGATTCTCTCAATGGGCACCAAAGCACGCTTGAACTTTGCAGAGTTTAGTCTAGGTCCGGGTAGAGGACGCCCTACCACTGTTTGGTTTGCTTCACCGCGCACTGTGGAGACCGCTTGAACTGTGCAAGCATTGCTTCTGTGCGCATTGCCAAAACGACGAAGTTTGTAGAAGTTAAAAGCCGTTCTCTTTCCTCTCTCTTCTATCGAATGGCCAAAAGAGATACAATTTTTTTCGAAGCTGATAAGAAGTTCAAAAATTAACTAGTCAAACCTCAAAGTTCCACGTCGAAACTGAGGTTTCGACAAAAGTTCGCCGCATCCTTAGAAGTAGCCCAAAAATAGCCATATAGCCAACTACAACATTTCGACGCCAACTAGAAAAAAAATGTAGCCCAATTTGGCTATATATAGCCCAATCTGGCAACACTGGACGCAACACAAAGAACACAGAGGCACACATGAACGAATGGTTGGATGAGTGGATAAATGGATAGTGGCTGTACCCTTTATAACTGGCGGTGGTTTGCGCCACCTAGCCTGGCTATTTTCTTTAAACTTACTTTTTTTTCCACCATTCAATTTGTCTTCTCCTTTCGTTGTGATATTCTTTCAATTTTCTCTGGACCTGGCCAACCAATTTTCTACTATTGTTTTTGTTCACTCTATTCCGCTGGTTTCGCTTTAAAGCTTCCGGACAGCGGACGCAATGGAATGCGCTTCAGCGCTACTTTGAGAATATGCGCGCCTAGTAGACGAACTTGCTCGCCGTATACGCATGCATTGTATCGGGCGGCAGCTTGCGCTACCTACGTCGCTCCGTGGTAAATTTTTGCCCTCAATTTCGTACCTCCTTTTAAAGTATCCGCCTGGCGGTCGTTGTTGGTTGCAGGTTGTGCAGAAAACCCGAGGACCAAGAATGATCGCAAAGCCTCAAAACATCCCGGATACGGCTCGAAGGCGCGTCCCGAGCGTTAGCACTGTATAAAAATCAAAAGCGCAAAGACCAAGGAAAAGAAGAGGGGACAGGACATAGCGCTTACTCGAACTGAATGTTTAATACATTCCCGAGTAATGTCTTGATGCAAGTATACAAAGCGTACAGCCCTAGCGAAAACATTGAATATCAAACTCTTTACAAGGCGTGCACCGAGAGCACACTGGTGCAACATAACACTGGGTACCATGATGAGTGCAGCTAGCTCTGTCATCTGCTACGAAGTGAAGTATAACATAGGGTATTTGAAGGGTCTGTGTGCGCCGGCGTCTGTTCTTTGAACATAATTCCTATGATTCTCACCAGGGTGCCTGGAATGTGTCTTCGACTGGTATGTTTAACGAGGGTAAGGTTGTAAGCTGGGCTAGTTGGTATGCATTGAACATGATGAAAAACCGCGCACAAATAGAAAGAACATACGAGGTAAGAAGAGAACGGAAGAGAACGCGCTTCTCTTCCGTTCTCTTCTTACCTCGTATGTTCTTTCTATTTGTGCGCGGTTTTTCATCATGTTTAACGAGAGGTTATTATTGATTGTCTGATGTCCACCGGGTGGGTTTACCTTGGCGGTAAAATAGCAGCGAGGCTGTCCTGCTGCATCTTGCGATGTATACTCTGTCTCATTAGTTTCGTGCACTGCAAGAAAAGGTACAGGCGCGAGAGCGTAGCTCCGAAGAAGGCTTCGTTTGCGCGAGCGCTCGTACAGAAAAGGCGTCGCCGGGAATACCGCGCTCGCGCCCGTACCTTTGACTGCAGTGCACGGAATTAGTGAGACAGAGTATAGTTGATCAGTCACCGGCAATGGACCGATCCCACCACGGCCGCGGTGCATCCTGGAAGTTGTAGTCCTTTGTGGGTGCACCGCGCCAGCACACGCCACACAAAGATGGCCGACCAATGTAGCGCTATATCCAGTGTCTGTGGGGCTGCTCCGGCTGCTCGGGCTGCTCCGAGCCGAGCATAGAGCGGAACCAGCGGAACTAGCAGTACCATAGACCACGGCATGACTACAACGCCGCCCCCATGTCCGCCGCCATGTTAGTTGTAGTTTTCCGGTTTCCCGGGAAAACTACAACTAACATGGCGGCGGACATGGGGGTGTCGCTGTCATCTTAGTTGTAGTCCAGCCACTGTCTACGGTTCTGCTGGTTCTGCTAGTTCCGCTCTATGCTCGGCTCAGTCGCTCAGTCGGCTCAGAACAGTCCCCGCAGCCGCCGCAGCCACGCACACACTGGATATAGCGCTACATTGGTCGGCCATCTTTGTGTGGCGTGTGCTGGCGTGGTGCACCCACAAAGGACTACAACTTCCAGGATGCACCGCGGCCGTCGTGGGATCGGTCCATTGTGACATCTCGATGATAGCGTCACTTGCATCTGTTAGTATGTTTTGCCGATACTTTTTAACCAACCGCCAGGATCGGGCTTTCCGACAGCATGACAAACGTGACGTGGTCGGGTTTCCGCATCGCGAGCAACTTGATACATGGAAACTATAGGACAGTAAACGCGCCAGTAGAAGACGCGTTCCAGGCATCACAGTTCCCACCACGCAAAGGTATTGTCCTTTGTCCCTCTTGTTCCCCTTCTTTAGGGATTATTTTCGTCATTCTTGTCCAGCTCGCTTGCACCTTTGCATTTAATAGCAATTTAATCATAACCTTAAATATGCAAGCTTTCACCCTTGTTGGTGTTAGACCGGTGGCAGCTGATAAAACCTGTCAGCTCTGCTGACATCTAACTCCTGGTTAGCTCAGTTGGTAGAGCGCTCCACTAGAAATGGAGAGGTCCCGGGTTCGATACCCGGACCAGGCAGATTTTTTCGGTCGTGCACCGGTCACCTAGCTGTGCTTGGAGATGTGTTTGTCCTTTGTCCCTCTTGTTCCCCTTCTCCAGGGATTATTTTCGTCATTCTTGTCCAGCTCGCTTGCACCTTTGCATTTAATAGCAATTTAATCGTAAGTCTGAAGAAGAGGTCTCTTAGCGGAACGTCAGCCACATTGTGAGGATTCCAGGAGACTTTCATTTAAGTACGCAGAGGATCAGGCCATCAAATTTGAGTCTACAAGAAAGGTGTGCTGCGAACATAATAACGTATTTCGTGCACCATGCCGTAGAAGGACCAGGCGACAGAGCCCCACAGTGCCATGGCCACAAGTTTATTTTGAGTAAAAAGAACAGGAAGCATCTGTGGGCAGAAAAGCACACACAGGAGAGCGCTCTTTTCATATGCGGGATTACCGCGCATGGGGCAGAAAGAGCAAGGTAATCCCACGAACTACCCGAAGGCGAACGACGTGACGCATTGAGGCAAGTTGCAGCCCAACGAAAAGACATGCAGGATGCGGCCAATGTCCATGTGACCGAGGTGGGCCCATTTATGCTCATTGCTGCCCCTATGTTCGAAGAATTACTCGCGCCATCAGAGGTCACGAGGAGCGGTACGGAAGGGAGCTGATATTTTTGAATGCAACAAGTTACTGAAAATGTCGTAACGCATGCCCTCGCCCTTCCAGAAAAAGACCGCTTCTTCCTGAAGAAGGAATTGTAAGTACCGTAGCCAAGCCGGATTTCGACACCCAGCCGGCCCTTCCAAAATTTGTTCCCCATAACGCGGATCCCAAAAGGCCCAAAAACTGATTGGCGTTCACTCTGTTAGACATATGCCTAAATGTAGTCCATGCGGCATTGTAAGCGGGTCCCATGTCAACCACCGTTATTAGATCTAATAACGGTGAAGTCAACGAGCCCCTCTACCTCGTTGGCCCATGGGAACAGCCATACGATGCGGACGGCTAACGTTTTTCGCTTCTTCTGTACGCAGTTGATGTTCAGCACATGCTTCCTACCAACAGTGGATTCAAGTTCTACAGTTCTACTCGCAAAACCTGTCACAGCGGCGGGTAAACTGCCAGTCATAAACAAGAACACGCCACTTCGTCTCCCACCGGACACGCCCACCATCCTGCCAAAAACGTTCGAGAGGTCAGCCTCATCATCAGCGACATCAGCGGCGCCACACGATAAGAGGGACCGGCCGATCGCCTATGCTTTCACTGGGCATGGGAACAGCCATACGATGCGGACGGCTAACGTTTTTCGCTTCTTCTGTACGCAGTTGATGTTCAGCACATGCTTCCTACCAACAGTGGATTCAAGTTCTACAGTTCTACTCGCAAAACCTGTCACAGCGGCGGGTAAACTGCCAGTCATCAACAAGAACACGCCACTTCGTCTTCCACCGGACACGCCCACCATCCTGCCAAAAACGTTCGAGAGGCCAGCCTCATCATCAGCGACATCAGCGGCGCCACACGATAAGAGGGACCGGCTGATCGCCTATGCTTTCACTGGGCATGGGAACAGCCATACGATGCGGACGGCTAACGTTTTTCGCTTCTGTACCCAGGTTAGTAATATCGATTCTTTGTACACTAAAAAATCAAGCGACGTTTTTCTTTTGGTGTTCCCATGCCCACGGGAGTTGTTCTCGATCGTCGGTCAGAGTATAGATGTTGTAAAATTGCTGATGCTATGCGGCGACGTTGAGGTAAACCCCGGTCCTGAAACGCGTAACAAACAGCTTGACAACATGTGCAAACTGCTTCAAGATGGTCAGTCTAAACTACTAATGGTTGTAAATGAAATCAAAACAAATCAACAGCAGTTGGAAGACAAAATCACTGACATCTCTAACCGGCTCCAGAATGTGGAAACTAAGACTAATGTTCTTGATAGACTGGATTGTGAAGTACGCACTACACATCAGGTTCTAGAAGAAGTTAAAAAGGAAAATGCATTCTTGCGTGCTAGACTTGACGACCTCGAAGATCGGTCTCGGCGAGACAATCTAATCTTTCATGGTATAGATGACTCGCCCTCAGAGACCTGGGCCCAATCTGAGCAAAAAGTACACTCGCTGCTTTCTAACGTCCCTGAGCTGAGCATTTCTGAAGAGGGAATCACTCGTGCGCACCGGCTTGGTACGTTTTCTCGAAACAAGTGTCGACCAGTAATGGTAAAACTTGTGTCAACCAAAACTAAAGAGAGCATCCTTTCAGCAAAAGCTAAACTAAAAACATGGAACGTCTCAGTCAATGAAGACTTCGCACCAGCCACACGTTATGCACGCAAGAAGTTGTTTGACTTCGCAAAATCTCAGAGTCCCAATAGTATATTTAAGATAAGGTACAACAGGCTTTACCTAAACAAGAAGTGTTACGCCTACTGCAGTACGAGTGACGAAGTTTATGAAATTTCTAGTGCTACCAGTGCTACTGATAGAGGTGCCGAGTCACTCCAACCGCAACACGTGCAATCAGCAACGTCATAACAATCGTGCACTCTTCCAGTCAAAGATTCGACGGTGGAAAATGTTTCTGTTTTCTTTACAAATATCCGAAGCGTAATAAAGAAACGCGATGAATTGTGCTCCGCTCTTGATTCTGCTTCTGCCAACATCATTGTGTTGACCGAGACATGGCTCTCTAGCAAAATACGTAACGATGAACTTTTTTTTTGTGATAAGCAGTACAAAGTTTATCGGCATGATAGGGATTCGCGGACGGGCGGAGGCGTGCTGGTTGCAGTTGCTGATTACATTGAGTCATCCCATATTAACTTAGCATCTAGCTTAGAAATTGTGTGTGTACGTTTCCAACTAAGTCACAGAAACATTGTTGTCTGTGCATGTTACCGCCCACCTACCTTTGCTAAGAATTTTGTGGAGTTATTACATGACACACTTAGCGGGATTGTTTCAAGGTTTCCTAACTCGCAGCTATTTATTTTTGGCGATTTTAACTACCCAAATATTAACTGGTCACAAGATATTCCTATTTGCGTGCCTTATTCTTCTGAAAGCAACGATTTCCTAAATCTCTGTGCAGATTTTAATCTTTCGCAATTAGTAACCGAGCCCACGAGAATTACGTCCTCAGCATCCAACGTTCTTGATCTTATTTTAACTATGTCTAAGGACCTCGTAGAGCCGATCTCTTATCTTCCAGGTCTTAGCGACCATTTAGCCTTGCATTTTTTCCTGAAAAGTCCTAAGAACAATCCTGCTGATTGTGTCAAACACATCCGTGATTACGCCAGAGCCGACTTTGAATCCATAAACCGCGAGCTATGTACATTCATGGGCTCTTATATGCAGAATTTTTCAGAACGATCGGTTGAAGGAAATTGGTGTCTGTTCAAAGATAAAATTACTTCATTGATCACCAACTACATTCCCTGTCGCGTTGTCAAATCAAACTCGAAATCACCTTGGTATAATACGGCTTTAAAAAGGCTGTCTAATAAGAAAAAGCGCTTGTTTCGAGCAGCTAAATCATCAATGTCTCCCGATCGCTGGGCCGCGTACCATTCGGCAGCTGAAGTATACAAATTGGCCGTCGATGAAACTAAATATAACTTCTTCAGCATAAAATTACCCTCAATGCTCACTAACAATCCAAAACAGTTTTGGAACTTAGTCAACCCTGCCGACAAACATTTAATAGAACTTAAAAATTCAGGCGGAGAGGTGATTTCTGGTGAAGATTGCGCTATGACTTTCAACGAAAGTTTCATCAGTGTCTTTAGTGATTTCTTAGGTGCCAACCATCCCGTACTACCATCTTCTGATCTTTTGCCCGTGTTACCAATTGTGTTTGATCCACCCGGTATTGTTAAAATTATTGAAAACCTCAAGCTGTCGTCGGCATCAGGTGTCGACGAGATAAACGCGAAATTTCTAAAAAATACCAAAATGTACTCCTCAATCATCTTGTCATCTTTGTTTTAACAATCACTTGATCATGGCGTCTTACCCAAGGACTGGAAGGTAGGGAAGGTTGTTCCAATTCACAAAGCTGGTGACCGTTTCTCCCCTTTCAATTACAGGCCAATATCTCTTACTAGCGTACCCTGCAAAATCATGGAGCACATAATTTCTTCACAGCTCTCGCGTTTCCTGGAGTGCAACTCCTTCTTTAGCCCTTTTCAACATGGATTCCGCAAATCTTTCTCGTGCGATACTCAGCTTTTAGTTTTCACCCACAACCTCCACTCGGCTCTGGACCGTGGATCTCAGACTGACTGCATCTTTCTGGACTTTGCAAAGGCTTTCGATAAGGTAACACATAAACTACTACTATACAAGCTTAGCCTACTCAGTATTGATCCATATATCTTATCTTGGTTAGAGTGTTTCCTCACTAACAGATCGCAATTTGTAACTGTCAATAACAAAAACTCGTCATCGTCCCTTGTTAAGTCCGGTGTACAACAGGGTTCTGTCCTAGGCCCCCTCTTATTCTTAGTATATATAAATGACCTACCTACTAGCATTTCCTCCTCCATAAGCGTATTTGCGGATGATTGCGTTGTTTACCGTGAAATTACTAATGACTCTGACGTACACATAATTCAATCTGATTTAAATGCAATTTCTTCCTGGTGTGATGCTTGGCACATGAAACTAAACACTATGAAGTGTAAGACAATGAGGATTTCTCGCAAAGCAGCACTCTGTCCTAACTACTTCCTATCAAATAACATCCTAACTTAACTTACAAATATCTAGGTGTTCATATCTCTCCTGACCTATCATGGAAAACTCACACCGAATATATCGTTAATAACAGTAACCGCATGCTTGGATATTTAAGACGTAACTTTTCTCTAGCTCCATCATCATTAAAATTACTACTTTATAAAACACTGGTGCGACCAAAACTTGAATATGCATGCTCGGTCTGGGATCCCGGTACAGAAAGCCTCATATCAGCGCTTGAAGCCATCCAAAACCGGTCAGCACGTTTTATATTATCAAACTACCATCGTACATCAAGCGTCACATCCATGAAAGCTAGTCTCTCACTGCCCCCTCTTTCCACTCGTCGCACTATCTCCCGTCTCTGTTTATTCCATAAAATTTACTATGCCAATTCACTCTTGAAAGAACAACTAATCAGTGCTCCCATCTATGTATCCTCTCGCCTCGATCACTGCTGCAAAGTTGGTATACCCACTTCCATTTCAAATTCTTTTTTCAAATCTTTCATCCCAAAAACATCTCGTGATTGGAACGGCCTTCCCTCACCCATTGCGTCCATTGGCGATTTTGTTCTCTTTAAAGAAGCTTTAACAAGTTACTATTCATGATCTGTGCCGGACTAACCATTTTCAGCGTTTTTTGTACTTCCGTTGCCCACCCCCTCTGTAATGCTTCGGCCCTGAGGGTATAATAAATAAATAAATAAATAAATAAATATGTAAAAAAAGTACATTTGGAAGCACGTAATTTTGCGTGATTTAGCGGTCTCGCTTCACAAGAAATACATGTTAAAAATTTTGGTTACTCGTACAACAACTAGCGCACTGCTTGTTTTAGAACTTCCATCTTAAACCGGAGACACGGCAAAATAAAAAAACGGACAACACAACAACAGTTGTTGTGTTGTCCGTTTTTTTTTTTTTTATTTTGCCGTGTCTCCGGTTTAAGATGGAAGTACTTCACCAGCTCGCCTGTGCGTTAACCCTTTCTTCGTTGTTTTAGAATACTAACTAAAGAGTGCAAAATACTGTATAAACAGTTCATAGAGGGCGCGCTAAAACTTTTAGATTACGTTAGGCTTGATGACTTCATAGAACTACGTCTATTCATGCCTTGTTCTTTGCTTCTCCCAGCCACCTTCCCAGTATATCCGGTCACAGCGCATCCGGTCTCGGCCTCGTGGCTCGTTTCATTGTGTCGTGTTGTGCTGGAAGCTACTCGGCCGATCATCGGTGTGCGTTTCCTCTCGACCTGTGACCTGTGTCGAAGTCTTCTGGAACATTTGGTTGCGAAGAGACGGCTTGTTTGCGTAAGTATAATGTCCTCTAATGTCCTAATAGCGGTGTACAACGTTGATATCGGAGATGCTGTTCCGGACACGACGGGGCTCGTCCGATAGGACTTTTGCTTTTAATGGATCATCACCGATTACCAATCTCTAATCTTCGCGTTTGCATTACAACACACTTCTGTTTTCATCAGTGCTGTCCCGGGTGAGATGGACTGCGGCCGAGACATGTTTCGAGGAACAAGTAGTATTGACCTCGAATCGTCGGTCCGAGCAATGGACGGGGTTAGAGGACCGGTTTTGTTCGATTTGGTTCAACTAATTCTAGCAGGTACAAAACGAGCTTCCTTTAGGAACCTTGACGGGCTCCGGTTAGTTCATATCGGAGAAACCCCCCCCCCCCCCCCGCCCCCTAGCCCCTAGCCCCGCGGCATCTCCAGTAATCTCCGGGGCGGCCTGGCAACCAGCGCGGAGGCGGTGGATGTCGGATTTGTAGCGTCTGCTTATCATTCTTTTGCCTTGTATTGCCTCAGCCGCTACGGATACAGCTTGAAATGTGGAATTTCAGAACTAAAGCAATTCTTTGCGGTGCACATACATTGTTGGTAAATCTCCAGGAGGCTAAGCTAAAACACGGGCCGGCTCACTCGAAGCAGCGTCTCATCAAATACTGTTAAGAAAGCGCTGTCAAAGGTAGCGCTCAAAAAATAAATCGCGCATCACGCGCTCCAACCTTGACAGTGCTTTTTTAAAGTCTGTCTCAGCTGAGACTGTATTCGATCAAGTCGGCCCTGGGCAGCGGTCTTTCCGCGCGCTTTAGTTTACTCTATCGAGCTGTTTCCAAAACAAAGGAGGACCTTTATTCTGCGAAAGCACACTGGAGCAGCAGACATTGTCATTATGATGCCTTCGACAACGAGAACTGACTTAAGCGATGTGAGGCGTCCGGCCGAAAATTCGGAAGATCCAACAGGAATGAAAACGCACTCGTGGGGTATCAATCAACTTACCTTGCGGAGGCGGCTTCATTTTGTCACCACGAGTAAAGCCTAGTTCCACTTGTCTCGAAGTGCTTTAATTCACGTGTTTTATTTACATGACAAACGCTCCGAAAAATAAAACAATATATGCAACACAACAGTGCCTCGACCCATCGGTTGCGACACACGACGTCTATCGGGAAATGGGAGCATATTCGGAAGCGACATATATCAACTTTGAAGTTTCATCAGCAAAGGGTGTACGCACTCACCGAGGAAACGAAACACCAGTGGGCGAATGTCTGCTGGGACCGATTATTGCAATTTCCTACACTACACACTCCGGTCGTGGTTAGGAAATTCCAGAGACAATGCGTCCACAAAATCAAGCGCGACCGCCGCGATCGCGAACACTCTGCCAGGTTATTCTTCGATAGAGACTACACCTTTAATGTCGTTCTCCGTCGTCAAAACTGTTGCTCAAGCGGTGTTCTGCGTTATCACGCGGATTTCACGCTTTGCTGGTTCGCAGACTCTGCATGTCGACGATCTCGGGCATCGCCGCGCGTCTCCTCCGTCGGTTTCGTCCGTCATGCTTAAAGCAGCTTAAAGTTAAACGCCAAAACAACAGGGACATGAGGATAGATGCAAACGGGACGAGGCGCCTCGTCCTGTCTGCATCTATCCTTGTACCCCTGTTGTTTTGGCACGAACAACCAACTAGCCTAACTCGCCGTCTAAATTCCGCCAATCAGTTCGTAAATTCTACCGAACGAGGTATAATTTTATAGTATACCGCCAACCGCGCCACTTCCGGGCCGACCTTTTTATGACTAGGCTTCAAAAAAATCACGTGGTGCCATCCCCCTGCGAATATCGGTACGCCCGACGAAGGAATACCAAGTGTGGTACGAGGCGTTTTGACGCGAACTATTCGCGTAGTCCATGCGAGCACAAATCGTTGTTAACTCCGGAGGTTGTTTCGTTCCACTGATCGGTTTTTACTCATAAATAGCGCTTCCTTGCCTAGCCCAACGAGGTGAGGGGCTTAAAGTGCTTAACCGGAAGTCCAAAAATGACCCCCCCGTAGGCGCTACCATCTTGACCATGTCCGCCGCCAGTCACGTGACTTTTTAGCAAAAGTGACGATACAGAAAGAATATCTGCTGTCCGAGTTACCCAAAGCGTCGGTTTTAGGCAAAGAAAGGTTTACTAGGGGGCTACTGAGGAACAGACGCCTAAATCACTTAATCAAAAGTGACTATAGCACCCTCTACTTTGAAGGCAGTACATCGTTATTTAACTTTCGGCGAATCGACTTGGGCACTTTCGCCTCAATCTCTTTCAGCTGAAGTTCTCCTTGCTAAAAAAGACGCTTTGAATAGTTCAAAGCGCAGCAGTCTCGTGCGTCTTCGTCTTTTTAGCAGAAAAAGTCACTTGACTGACGATGGAAATGGCCAAGATGGCAGCGCCCGAGGGGGGGTCATTTCTGGGTGCGCAATGCAATGCCTGTTGAGCTCTCTAAGCCCCTCTACCTCGTTGGCCTAGCCCTTAATTGAAAGACTACAGCCGATTGCAAGCTTCCATTTACAAATTTGGTACAGGAAGTGCTTATATACGTCCGGCGCGATGGCCGCGCCGTCTTCCGCATAGTTTCGAATTTGAATCAGCAGTGTTCGCCACGGCGTCTGGCGAGGCTTTCGGAACTGAACTGCCGTGGGATTGCAATATTCGGCGTCCATAGTTGCCCGCCGACCGTCAACACTGCAATTGCTTACAGCACGGTTATACGCTCAGAACTTGCCTACGGTGAAACAAAAGCGGTGGCTCGGACAAGTAGGTAATCGCGCTGAACCCCGAATGCCGCGGTAGTGTGATGGGCATACAGTGGTCGCCCTCTCGCTATCGCAGGTCAAGCTTGGGGCCCCGATGCCAGCATAGGCTGAACTGACTGCAGCAGCATTCAGTCTGCTGCGCGTATACCCACCTCACCGAGGTGGGTATACGCGCATAACTACGCGTACAGCCCATAACCATGCGATAAGCTTGCAAATATTTTGATGCGTAATACAGTGTCACACCCTTTTTAGTTTTCTCAACATTATTGAGAACATGTGGGCCGAATGAGGGCGGCCTAGGCCACGGGTTTCTATTTATTCGGCCACGGAAGACTAGCTATGGAACACATTCCTAGCAGAATGGGAACGCTTGAGAGTAGACGCGTTTTTGGGTCTAGTCTCTAAGACTGCCTGCCATCAAAGATGGCAGCTGTTGTCCACCAAATGGAAATAGAAGCAGTTCATGAGGCTGCTTCAATTGATGTGAGCTTTTTCAACGGCAGGTAGCAGCTTATAAATGTTAAGATTAAGTTTTGATTGAGCAATAAAGCTTGCCGCTGCTGACCTCTGACAGGCACACTCCTGACGGAACCTCGTCCTTACTGCAATCGGCTGCAGCAAGCACTTCTGTCGTCTTATGGGCAAATAACTAAGGCGTCTGAACTCAACAGTCAGCGGCGCAGATCGAACTATAATGGACCAAAAAGGCAATAACGGTAAGGAAAACAACAACGCGGAGCTATGAGCGTTGTTACCAAAGTCAGGGTTACATTAATAGGCAGACACACTAGCCGACAATTAGTCTACGATCCCGGCCCTCGTCACAGAGATTTCACAGGAAGCGGGTTCAGCAAGTCTGGCGTGATTGATATAAGAAAAACCCACAATTTTTATTTGTTTTAACAAATATTTAGGAACAGATGAGCACATTGGCGGAGCTTGTAATGTAGGGTTCGCCACCTGTTGGATAGACTGAATTTCTTGCTATCACCAGTAGCGTGCGCGTAGCGGGCGACACGTGTGTCAGACGACACACATAGCAGACTACGCGCGTAGCAGACGACAGACGAGCGCCGCGATGACATGATGCGCCGCGATGACATGATCCCACTCCTGAAAACTGGGAAGCCGCACTGCTCAGCTCGTCTGCTGCTGACCAACTAAAGTTGATCGAGCGGGCGAGGCTGACAGCCGACAGCGTTGGGGCCCTGGACTAAGGGAACCACCCAGAGACCAATATACAGGCATAATAAAGTTTATTCCTCCTCCTCCTCCTCCTCACCGCCCGCGTAACACGCATGCCCAGCAGTTGCGCGCTTGACCGGTAGAGCGCTCTGATAGGGTACGATGCCATGCGCTCCCGTGTTCCCGCTAACTCGGATCAAGATAGTACATAGTTTTTTCTTCCCCTCCAAAAATGTAATTCTTTGCCTTAAATTTTTGTGGAATAACTATAACAAGAAAGCTAGATATAAATTTACAAAATGAGTGCATGAGCTTCCATTGCATTGTTGTGAATAAGCTGAAAATTTGTAAAAGCTTCATTTTAGTTCTGCGGAACAAGAGTTCTCACAATCAAATATTTCTATGAATGAGCTTGGGGAAAACATGTGCTATTTTGCTTAATCGCTAACAATACAGGCCTTTTCTGTAGGGCATGCCTTTATTGTGTTCTAAAAGTATTTCTGGTGAGGTTCTTTGAATTCATTTACTAGAAACCTACAAGAAGGCCCTCAAGAAATCTCGGCTAGCCGAAGAAACATCAACACTTGAAACGTCGGAGTTTTCAGGTGTGTATTAATTTGAAAATGTCTTGGAAAATTGTTTTGAAGCAGAGAAACATATATTTAATGCAAGGGCATCTTTGCTTATTGAAATTCCAGCCCTGGAGGCCGAAACTCCTGAGGATGTCTTCACAACCTATGACGATGCGCCATCGCACCGTCTGGCCTTGCCCTCTCCACGTAAGTTCAATAAATATTGGTAATGTAGGCATACACCAACTTCGGTCTCCTTTAAGGTATCTAAACTTATCTAAACATCATTGCATTTCTGAGCTAGCCTTGTAGACAGCCAGCCATATGGCTAGGAATTGCTGGAATAAAGCAAGCCAGCCAGTGAGGGTCTTAACGCATTGACTTCAGATGCAGTTAAACACTTGAGCTGTGGTTGACGTGGGTGACTTGTTGCAAACTGCAAGCCA